CGTTTCCAGATTAAGATCTTATTCCACTTCTTCCAGCGTATATTAAAAGACTGGTCTGACACAAAAGGTTGCTGCCCTGTAAATATTACCTTAAGTAAACCTAGAAACTATACAATTTGTATTTTTTATAGCAAGTATGTTAACTTAATGAATTTATTTTGACAGGGCTTTAGAAGCCCTAGAGAAACACATACTGTATATGACTAAATTATGTTCAAACAAGTTATGTTAAATGAATAAGGAAATTTGCAGAAAAATAATTAAAATAATAGACCATGATTTAAGTGTGATTTAATTAATCAAGAATGTTACAAGAGTGTAGCAGTAAGAATTAATAAATAAGCCCTCAGTGTTAAATTAAATTGATGAAGAGCTTTCTTCACACTCAGATTTCCAGCTCCTGCTGGTTACCTACCTGCCATTTCTCACTGGGCCAGTAATTAAAGGTCATTAACCAAATTACATGTGTAGAACGGGGGCTATTCAAATCACGGCCCTCAAAGTTGGAGCACTGCTAATTTTCCAGCCTACATTTACATGTGAACCAGGTCACTCAGTGTCCTCACACTCTCAGTATAATGTCTCACTCAGTGTCCTCACACTCAGTATAATGTCTCACTCAGTGTCCTCACACTCTCAGTATAATGTCTCACTCAGTGTCCTCACACTCAGTATAATGTCTCACTCAGTGTCCTCACACTCTCAGTATAATGTCTCACTCACTGTCCTCACACTCAGTATAATGTCTCACTCAGTGGCTCAGTTTGTCTGGATGTCTCCAATAGTAGAGTTTCATTTCCTATTACGCTACTCTCCTTCATCACTGCTAAGTCCAGCCCCAGGCAAGAAATAGAACCTGCTAGATCACTAGCTGGCATGCTGATAACACAGCAGAAAGACTCTCAGAGATGGCTCAGCCCCTCCAGCTGTACTATCTTTCTTATTGGCTGGTATTTATTTGGCACCATAGAATCACACAATAAGATGCTGTCAGATGTTCAACTCAAAATCCCACTGCTGTGTAGGAATAACTAGGAAAATATGCGATTGTATTAAATCAGTGAGACCCGAATGACATGATGAACAACAAGATCCTCTGTATCTCATTCTGTTTATTATCCTACATCATTGGAGCTGTCATTTTTCTAGGATTCCTCCTGGACTCCATCCTAGGGGGGTGTTTTGGGCATGTCCAACTGGGAGCAGGCCCCGGGGCAGACCCACTACATGCTGGAGGGATAATATTTCTCGGCTGGTCTGGGAATACCTTGCTATGCACCACCAGAGGAGCTGGAGGAGGTGGCTGGTGAGAGGGAGATCTGGGCATCCCTGCTCACACTGCTGTCCCCACGATCCGCCCCTGGATAAGTGGCAGAAAGTGGATGGATGGATGGATGGATGGATGCATGCATTAGGGCTGGCAGTTGTGATTCCAGGCTGAAGTCAAGGAGCTCCCTATTCAGCTTGCAGTGTGATTAGAAGTTTGCCGGCTGAAATCCTGTGGCAGGCACGGCAATAATATCACTTAACCCCAATTACTCCAGGGACATAGACTGCTGTCTAATCCGCAAAAATCCTCAATATGGATGAAGACATCCAAAAAAAAAAATAATACACAAATTTCCATGATAATATTTACACGGCAGTGCAGGTCAGTTTACATGCACAGATACTAGTGGGATACTACTACTTTTAAATGGGAGTAAGACACCAGTAACATGAAGAAATAAGTCAAGAACCAGGTTGCATTTTTTATTATGGGATTTTCAGCACATGAAACACATCTAAAATCGATGTGTTAGATGCACTTTTAATAAAGGTGATATTAAAGGTACAGTTTCTAAGTACAATATAACAACATTCATATTAGAATGAAAAGTATTTAAAAGACAACATTAAATTTCTTATTTTCTTTACAGCTTTATTTACAAAATGAATCAAAATACTTATTTTTTGTTTGTTTTTTTTTTAAGAATCTGACAAGAGGTGAACAAGCATTTTGTAGAGATTACTCCTAGAGAAAACTCAGAAGAGCCAGATTAAAAATGTCCATGTTAATTTGTCCCCATTTCAACATCAGTAGCAAATGTGAGATAAAAACCTATTCCGGCTCTCCGTTTTCTCAATTTGTGCTGCTCTAGTTTGAAATGCACCGACTTGATCGTACATTTAACAAAAAAATGGTGTTTCTGGGAAAACGGCGTGAGCCACACATGTACAAATTCTCAGCACACACATTGGAATTGCAATGCATTGGATGATTTCCTGAATTAAAAATAAGAAACATTTAACAACAGAAACATAAAATGGATTGTCGATTGATTTCCATGTGAAAATGGACAAAAACTTAATATACAATCTGTAATGCAATACCAAATATATTTGAGTTAAGTTGTTTATATTCCTGATCTGGTTAATAATGTGTTTTTTTATTTTATTAATTTTGGATTACCTTTAATGTCCAGCCTCCTATACAGCATATCGTTTGAGAGAACAGTTTGTTTTCAATGGTCTTTTTAGGTTATCTGCAGTTATACAAACATGGAAAACATATACGACAAATTGTGAAAAAATACATTTTTTTTTTTAAAGATTTGACCAGTGTGCGCAAATGATTTAACATTTTCCAGAGAAGCTGAAAAAAAACAAATATAATTTATGAATCATACATCACAGAGTCAGGTACTCAGTGTTATGTACATTATTGCAAGCAAATTTTGTCTGAAACTGGCAAAAAATTATAGTTTTATATGTGTATATTACAATACTCAAGAATCAGTATGTCCTTTAAAAATCAGTGGTCACAGGACACCCAGACCCCCACTGAAAGGGCTTTAAGAAGAGTGAACTTTTTAGCCACAAAAATCAATGCATATCTTTTTGCCTAAAACTGTAGACACACATAATTCTGATTCTGCCTTTTCATAGAATGATACTGCTTTTGCTAATAATCTTAAAGTAAGAAGAGAAAAAAGTGTATTGTCCCAAAACTAGCACTCTGATACAGGTACTTGTTGGGTATTATAGTAATTGTACTTTCATTACCATTAATCATGTTTATCATTATTATCATTATCATTATTTAGCCCTAATATAAACAACGCATCAATACTCAATAAAATAAATGGACGAATGGGCGGCCTAGTCTAGGACTTAAGGATCTGTTCACAAAAGTAACTCAGCTAGCACCACACATTAGATTAACACAAAGGAAAAGCCACCATACCCTAGCTCTATCAAACTCACTCTAAACAAGAGTAGTATATTAAAATGGATATTGTACAGCATGATGTATTTAATAAACAGATAAACATTCATACTGAGTAGGGTTTTATAGCCATATCTTCTCCTTACCTATACAGAAAGAAGTTATAAAGTTACCTCTATACACGTGATCAATAATAACATTAAATATTGTGAAATAAATTCAGAAAAGGGATATATAGAGAAAAAACAATGACATATACAGGCCTTCTGAAGTTCTTCGTTCTCAAAAAAGGAACAGAACTGGTCAAATATACAGATGATAAACAACGTAATCACAAAATAAAGGTGATAAATAACAGATTGTATTTACATGCTGATGTCTACAAACTGCACAAATTAATAGTAATAAAACATTTACATTATTGCTTGACATTCCTTTATGGCTAAATTTTTTTTCCTTGTTATTTCCAAAAATGAAATTTATTTTTCTCGTGACTTGGCTTGCTGTACTTTGGAGAAAAAAAAAAACAACAACAGAGAGATTGAAATGAAGAATGCTATGGGACAGGTGGACATTTCTTTTTAAATTAAATCAAATACACAACTCAGCGCATGACCCTGTCTTCCATCAATCATTAAAGCCTTGTCTGGGGCTGTCTTGTGGTCATCTTGTACGCAAACACACACACATGCAGACAAACCAGTGACCCCAGAGAAGAGTCCTTACCAGAGGTGATTCTAGCATGTGACTCTTATGGGGCTCAGCCCCCAGTAGGGTTGTCACTTTCAATCTGAAAAAATATGGAACGGCAGGTTTTCGGGGGGGCAAAAAATGGGTTGGCTGAAGCCTGCCGGAACCGGGTCTAGTACGGCCTGTGGTCCTTACGTAAAAAAAAAAAAAAAACGGAGAATGTGAGACGTGCTGGACTAGAGAGTGTTTGCGGCCGGTGATCAGTGTCTGCTCCATGTGCAGGAGTTTCTCTGTGACACAACACAAACCACACCAGCAGTGACTCGTTCACCTCTCACTGCTGTCCAGTTAGTCATTCCTAATCATCCTATGATGACATTGTCCTGTGACATCAATATTCATCCATGGCAGTACAAAACACAGAAAGATATATTAATCCTACAATATTTTATTTTAAAAACCCTGACTGCCTATATTTTAATAGCTGAGCTTCTTCTACCACAGAAAAAGAGCCAAAGTGGAAGTGGAACATACACAGTTAGAAACACAGGCTGAGCAGATGTCATGCCAGGGAAGGGTCATGACCTGAAGCAAGGCCCTACATTTGGTCATACCATGGGAAATTCTCACTTCCACTGTTGTCATTAAAAGACCTCTTTAGGCTATTAAAAATAATATTGCTTATAATTCTGCCACAGTCATATCTCAAATGAACACAACAGACGCCACCTACTGGGAATGGGAGGAAGCTAAATATTGAGCTGGAGGTTCTCTCCCTTATAATCAATTAACAAAGTATCACTGGTTGGCTGAGGCCATGTGATGGGTAGCGGAGTGTAGAACAAGACTTCACTGCAGCAACTACTGTACCCGTCTTAAAATACTGTAATGGGTTAAACATGTCAGTTGGTTAAGCGTAGCGAAACTATTTGGCACAAAGTTTTAACTCACCAAGCGGATTGCTAAGGTTCATTTAGGAAACCAGGAAAAAGCTTTATTTCTTCATAAGACACAAATTAAATTTAGCTTCAAGCCTCTTATCTGAAAATAATCTTTACAACATTGCAAAACCCTCAGATAGAAGTTCATCCTAATCACCTTCCTAAGTCATGTGACCTACACAGACACAATGTTCAGAATACAGTCAGTAAAAAGGGATTATATAATTCAGTTTCAGAGTATTGTTGTACTTTTAAAGTTGTAACAATAATTATTAAAAATATTTTAAAATAATTATTAGAATTAATACTATACAGCAATTTGGCTTTAATTATATATCCAATCAGGACTTCACTGACTAACGACTGACAAATTGAGTTTAGAATTTGCATTAAACTATAGTGATGTACAATACTTTCAAAGTATACTCTCAACAGCAGCAAATAACAGTGCAGTGATGTCTGACTTAAAACACTATTGTAACAATCGTGTTTTCTAGACGGAATGCATTCTTCACTACAGGTTAAAAAAAGATTGTACAATGGAAAAAAAAAGACAATTCTCGAATTTCCAGTTCTCATTCCCGAGATTCATCTGAACCTTGTACAAGCAATATTAAAATGAGATTGGGCTGCATGTAGGAAATCATGCAATCATTGCGATAATTCACGCTGAAATCGCATATCGGGGCAGAAATTCATTACGCTTGACGTTACCTGCCTAAGGGTCCTTCACTGGTTTCTCCCTGAGCTCTCACTTCACATCATCTCAGACTAAACAGCATGACTGGCTTCAGGCTCACATCTGCTTTAAGGATGAGAGTCTCCTCTCTAAATTCTGCAACTGGCATTATTTAACATGCATGCACTCTACGTGTCTTGGGCTGTAGCCGGCAAATTAATTAAACAGAATTATTATAAAAACATATAGATTCTGAGCATAGTTTAGTATTGCTTCTTATCCCAGCCCAAGTAAACATTTTTCTTTCAACATATTAAAAAAAAATGATTTGGTTTTCTCGGCAAATATGTTGGAGTAAAATGTAGTGAATGTCTGGGTTTATATTTGTCACAGAGGCAAATTATATTGCAAAAACAAGTAAAGTGATGAGAAAGGAAAAAACTGATGGAAACTGTACGTTGACTTTATGTTCCCTGTAGGTCTAGGCGTCTGTTGCCCATATAAGGAGACAGATAATCCACATCTGGCTCTTAATACCAGTGTGCTGAGAACGGCAAATTTATTTTGCACCCTTCTGTTTGAGTTAAAAAAATTACTTAAGTACGACTCTATGCCTCAGACGACTGTACTACATTTAGCAAATGAAGGCAAGATTTGAAATGAATTCCTCTTGTTGGAAATCTGACTGGACTGTCAGCTGACATCCTTAAATGAAATAAGAACAAAACAAAACAAAACAAAACAAAAAAAATTTCACACAAGAAAGGATAGACTAAGCTAACCCATGCAGACCCTGAGGGGTAACGGTACACATCAAACTGTGTCCTGCCACATACATATTGCACTGCTGCAGAGGAACAAAGACAAGCAAAGCCTGCCCTTCTGATGCTCAATAAAACCACACCCTAATCACACCCAGATACACCGCTAAAGAGGCCTGCCATATTCCTACAACCCCAGACTCCATCGACTTCTTGGAATGTCAAAACACCAGAATTTTCTATGCAGGAAAAAAAAATGCAGAATAAAAAAAGACAATGATGGTACGTGGAGATACAAACTGCAACACAGTTTTCATGAGACGGCCCAAGAGACTTCCAAAAAAAGAAGAAATGGTAATTAAAAAGGTAGTTTTGTCTATCATTGTCTTGCAATATAATTGCATTGTTTCTTTTTTTCACAGATAACGCACAGGAATTATTGCAGGAATTTTCTAAGTGCCACTTGTTGTCTCTAACATGCAATTCGTTATGGGTTACAAAAATAGTTTCACTTCCAGATGAGGCTTTGAATATGTAAGTTTTTTTTCTAACATCCTGTCCAAAATGAAACGTAATCAACAATTCAGAACTTACTGTACAGAAGCAGTTACATATACACAGCTGTACACACACACAGTGAATGGATAGGGGGGAAAAAAAACCTGTAAGGATCAGCTGACGGTCTGAAATAGTCTGGGACTGTTGGTTGCCACAAGGGTTACCACTG